ATTACTTCTTCGTTTACTTCAAAGTAAGGGGGAAAGGGATTTTTTTTGTCAGTGCCATTTTCCAACGAAATTGTCCCAAATCATAATAAGAGCACATAGCATATGTGGAACTTCATTCAAAATAGCTGACTCAAAGTTGACCCCTTTTTTTGTGTTGACTCAGTTGCATAGTTGGACAGCGATCTGTCAAAATAAAATTTTCGTGATATCGACACTGAGCGTTTATAAGGACCAATGTCGAGAACATAAATAATGGCGTCTTTCGTAAATTTCTCGTATGTCAAAATCAATCCATGTAAGCCATCAATTTTATCAGAAAGGAGGACTGTTTCTCTAAACAATCATCGTGGTGGTGAACTTTCATTTTCGATAAATTCACGCAAAAAAAGTAATTGTTTACGTTTGCGGCATTGGCCATTACGAAAGAAAAGCAGATATATGGTTGTATGCTCAGCATTGACGTTGACGGCGACGCTGCAACTCTTTACTCCTGATGTGATGTGATGTGAATGGATTGTAAAGTTCTGCCTGATGCAAGGGGTGGTCACTCTACACACTTGTATTGCGCCAAGTTTTTTCTCAGTGTACCTCAGTGTGCCGCAGCTGTACCGGCAGTGCAAAGAAGACATTGAACTGACTTTTGATTGCTTGTGAATAATGCCTTGTTTGGCAACCCGGTATTTTAACAGCTCTTGTTTTTGTTTTGTTTTTCAATGTTTTCAAAAACGACACGGACTATACAGTTGGGACTACACACCAATGACGTTTATATAAGGTCTGGGCCAAAGGGCTTATTGGTGTTAGTGAAATGTGCAAATGGTTAGTGGTGTTCGTATTATATTGCAATGTTTATCTTTTTACACGAAACAGCTGTTGGCAGTGACGTATATCTATCTGTTCTCAGTATGTTGGCATTGACGTATTGAGATCTGTTCGCAGATGGTCAGCAATGCTTACAACATTTTTGCTTCTAACACCAGCAAGCTGCCTGTTGGCCCAGACCTTATATAAATGTCATTGACTACACACTGGATGCATCCGTCTCCAAGGATGCCTGCAACGGACGAGCTCCATTGCTACACGATCGACGGAAGGCCGACCCGCACAACGAACGTCAATCATTAGTCAACCAACCCTTCTGGGAGCCGGCGGAGGAAACGGATTAGCACCGAATTTTTCACCGCCCGAGTATCATCCGTCGGAAAACTGGAAACCAACACCGGCCGGAACACACGTCGGACTGATGAAGGACGCACCGCTGACCCAAAACGGACCAGCCAATTTTCCAAGCAGAACTACTTGCCAGAGTACACTCTGCCGGACAATTCGATCAGCTTCAAGGTCTACAGCGCCTCCAAGAACAATCGCTTCCCAGGTCAGCAAAAATCATTCTCCACTTCTTCAATACCCCACCCGTATGCCGTCCAAGGATCTGCTGCTGACTGCATTCACCACCAAGGACTGCCACCCGTCGCAAGTGCGAATGTTCCCGCTGAAATCGGAAAGTTCCGGTGAACGCCATCATGAAGTGCAACCACAGCGCGATCGATCACAAATGCACAAAACTCCCGTTCATTATGAAGATGTTAGTTGGAAGTGCAAAAAGGCAGGAGAGTAAACATAATTTGTTGAACTATTTGAGATTTTGCCAAGACAGTCCTCCAACATTATATGAAGGACGATGGAATGGTTGGTGAAGCAGCCACCGCCATGGATGTATTGGAGCAGTTCGAATGGTCGGATGGTATAGTTTTTGTTTGGTTGTTGACTTTCCGATGAAAACTCAAACCGCTTGTCGTGACCGGCCCAAGATTTCCAGCGTCGGCCACGGATTAGCGATGCAGCTCCCACGGTTGCGGCTGCTTCCAATGCTGCTGCTGCTGTTCCTTCTGCTGGTTCATGTCCTCTAAAATTCGTGAAAAAATGACGGACCAGCAGCAGCATTGGAAGCAGCCGCAGCCGTGGGAGCTGCATCGCTAGTTCGTGTAGCCATGGCCGGAAACCTCGGTCAGGTCAAGATACCGCTGTTAGCTGTTCTTCGTCTGGGAGGAAATGTGGATGCGACTTCCGTCACGGGTGTAACGATTTTGAGAATCCATGGAGAGACTTGGTGGAGATTGACGGTTGTTTTGAAAATAATTTGACTAGGAGTGGCAACATCAATAACAAATTTTGACACATGCACACTGCGCAGGTGCAGAAAAAGTGCAGTGTTGCCAGTAACTTTAAAAATCATAAAAATTGTAACCATGCGTGCCAAACAATGCCAATGACTGCACCCGGGTGTGCCCAAGTTTGATTTTGGCACCCTGTGTAGAGTGACCAACCCCTTGGCCTGATGGTTTGTTACAGCAAGGTGAATCAGTTTCATTGACGACCTTTGGACAAAACGACCAGATGGCCATCTGTAATCACGTGACAAAGGACTGGCAAATCCACGTCGGATTTTACCAACCCAGTATATAATATAATGTTTTAACATATATGATTTACAGTAATGTTCCATCACATGCTCAAAAATGTGCAGACAATCCATTCGGCGTTCAATGCTGATTTCAAAGACATAAAAAATGGGATGCGTGGAGAAAACTCCGTCAAATTTATGAGAATCATGTAAATTTAGTTTAAATAGATAAAATTAGATACGATCTCACCAAGTTAGTCCAAATGAATCCACATGAAGCATCCGTGCTATTGTTGCATTGCAGTTCCAATCAAAGACGGTTCGTTTGATGAGGATCAACATAAACTAGTCCCGTCCTGTGTAGAAACAGGTTGAAGTGTCCAAATGTAGTGATCCTCTGGATTGGGATAAAAGATAAACGGCTGTAGTCGATTGGTGGATCCGAGTGAAGGTAGCCTAGTATCAGGTCCAGCAACTTGCAATTTCATGACGCGAATACGACGAACAATGGAATATCTTGGTTCCAATAAAGGTTCCTCTTCGTTTTCGAAACCGTATACTTATATGTCAGAGGCAAATCACAGTCAGTACAGCCAGTATCCCGTGGGGATGGGATGCAGTTCTCTCAGGGCTTCTTCTGCATAGATGGTTTGATTCATTTTGAAACGGATAATCGCGTTCTTGGCCATCTTCGAAGATGTTAACCGGATTAATAACCAAATAAGCATAAAAAACTCCGAGAAAAAAACGAACGTCATGTTAGTTCGCACGCGCAGCCTACTCTGAATCTGCAACTCTTTACTCCTGGTAAAATTCCATAAGCATCTGACAATCTGTGCATGAAATCTAACGGACTTTGTCACCAGCCAGCTGCCGTCTTTTCACGCAAAGATTGACATAATCTTATGGGATTTTCATGAGTGAAAGGGTAAGGAAATGTTCACCATGTTACCCGCACAGACTGATGTTTGTTTATGGGATTTTAATCATTTGGAGTAAGGAGTTATAGAGTGACCCAAAAGGCGAATTGTCAATAGTCAAGATAATGTACAATAAGATGTAAACAATTGAGGCCCAGATAATTTGTCGTCCCTTTTGTTCCTCCGCTGTTTAAATGCTTGACGGAGTTTGACGTGTGGGCATTCTTTTTTCGACTAGCTCAACAAGGGGCTTTTCAAAGGATTTTCGAACTAGTATTTTCAAAAGAGTCAGAAGCCAATCAAGAGCGTTGTTATCTAGTATAGCCTATTTACAGATGTAATATTTCTTTGTCTCTTCGATCTAATTGTATTAGATTGATTACGGAAATTATGTTAATCGAATGGAATTTAATGCAAGATATGATGATTACGTTGAATATGTGTAACGCTACCATTTTGTCTGTGGTATGTTGAAATATTGTTAACTGTGCTTTTAGTGCGTCAACTTATGATTACATCACAAAATATCCTGTTGATGCATATTAAAGTTTACAATTAAAAGAGGCATTTTTTTCCAAAAAAAAAAAAACTATAAACAAAACAACTATCAATAGAACCAAACGATTATTTTCGTTTATAAATAAATATACATGAAAAAAAGTTTTACCATTAGGCTAATATAGAGAAAAATAACTTACTTGCAATTGAGAAAAAAGCTGGCAGTTTGGATAAAGGAATATTAAGGCTTCTTCGTATTTTTTTAATAGCTACGAGTAACTCACAGTTATTCAATGGTAATATATTAGCTCAGAGTACAGCTGACTAGCCCCGAGGTTCAAACTGAGGCTATGTTTCATTTGGCGAACTTTTACTTAAATTTTACATTTCTAAAATAAATTATAGTGTTCCAAAATCCCTCTGTTGTTGATCGTTCGATTTTCGAGAAGATGTTTTTAAAAATTGATTCCTCGTCTTTCAGAAATAAGTCTGGGAGAATAGCAGGTGTATTTAAAAAAATATATATCTGTCAAATTTAAGTGAAAATTCATCTGTGTTCCAGTGTTCCAATTGTTTAATTTTCGCTGAAATTTGACAGATGGAATTTTTTTTAAATAAACCTGCTATTCCACCAGACTTATTTCTGCCAGACAAGGAATCAATTTTGACAAACATATCCCTCTGTTGTTGATCGTTTGAAGGTGTTTGTCAAAATTGATTCCTTGTCTGTCAGAAATAAGTTTGGTGGAATAGCACGTTTATTTGAACATTTTCCATCTGTCAAATTTAAGCGAAAATTCACTAAATGGAACACAGCCTGAGGAAGTTTGACAACTTTAAAATACTACTACTGTGTTACCTGACTTATAACGAATATACGTTCTATTCGAGTACCCCGAATACAACGTATGACTCGTCTAATTGTGCATAGCATGTGCAATGTAAAATTAGACGAACTATACGTTGCATTCGGGGTATAGAACGTATGTTCGTTATAAGTCAGGTAACACAGTAGGTTGACCCAAGTAGGCTTTCTTTCCAGTCTAATACAAATCCATAGTTATCATTAAATCTATATTATCAAAATAAACCATAAACCATCATTTTCTGTAAACATGGTTCTCACCTTCACTTGTTCATTGAAGAATACACCGACAGCACTTCACAATCATATGTTAACGCTAATTTAAAGCTCTATCTAAAACCCTTCTTACCTGAAAGCAGGCAGCCCGAACAGCTCCGGTTGGAAATCCTCCAACGAATCCAACACAACGGTGGCATGCTTCCGTAGTTCGGGCTGTATGCTACGATCCGGTACCATGACGACCTGCATCCCAGCGGACACTGCCGCCTCCACACCGTTCGGGGCATCCTCAAACACCAGACACTGCATAGCATTGAAAGCGAATTGAAAAACAGAAACCCCCCCTCGAATAAAAGCTACAAACCTGTTCCGGACACGGATGATCGGGGAAGCGGGCGGCGGCCACCAGGAAGATATCCGGCGCAGGTTTTCCCTCCAGCACACCGGCGTCCGACGAGCCCATCACTGTGTGGTCGAAAAGATCGAATACGTCCCTGTGGTTCTTCGTTTTCACCTCAACGGCACTCGCTCCGGAGCTGGTGGCCACCGCGATGGGAATGTGGTTCTCGCTTAGGTGTAGGATTAGACGTTCGGCACCTTGGAGATCGGAAATTCAGAAACAGGGTCATTAAATCAGAGTTCGGTTTTGGATGCAGTATTACCTCTCATCAGACGAGCGTTGGCGAGTTCCACCAACTGTCTCTGGCGATACTTTTTCAAAAACTCTTCCTCCGTACAGGTCAGTTTCAGGTCGTTGACGATGATCGAAACGGTTTTCTGTTCGGTTGTTCCCATGATCTTCATTTGGGTGTCCCATGGGTAAGACGATCCGTACGATTCAACCAGATCTCGTAAAATATTCTGGTAGATGTACTCTGTATCTGTGGAACGGAAAAAGAATGAAAATAGCAAAATCTCGGTTAGCACGGTCATTTTAAATCAAATATTGAACTCCTAAACTAACTTTTAAATTTGTCGAACCTCTTAACGGAATCCCTTTATGAAGAGCTTTGAGTGTGTTGGTTTATTTCCTTTAAATTCCGTTATAATTGCTTATCTTTTGACAGATACGCGTATTTCGTCTACTACTTGCAGACATTCACGAAATTTATAGGAAATAAACCAACACACTCAAAGTTTTCAGTGTTTTGAGCGTCTTTTCAAACAAAATGTTATTCAGTTCATTTGATACACATGATGAAAGCATAAACGATTTCTGCTTTGCAATGCATGTGGTAACTTATTGTACAGTCAAATTTCGCTCGTTGGGCTATGTTTAAGTGGGCTACGATTTAGTTGGGCTCCCGTTAGTTGGGCTGTAGCCAACCTAAATCGAAGTCAAACGTCATTTCTGACAGTACTGATTCATTTTCGAGGGGCTCATGTATGCACAATTTGGATAGTTGCTAAAGGATTGTGATGATAATAAACAATCGGTGAATCCGTCAACCAATTTTCAACATGACAGCTCAGTCCAACTAACGAAAGCCTTTCACTAAGTGGGTTACGGGTTTAGCCCAACGAGCGAAAGTTGACTGTAGTGTGTTTTTGACGTAGGATTACGTCTTTCGGCAACATATTGGGGGTGCAATTTCAAAAAACCAAAATCGACCGCATTACAAAAAGAGGTCAGGTTTTGACAACATATAACTCTGTCAATAGTGGATGGATTTTAATTCTAAACAAGCCAAACGATTGGAAATTTATCTACTAATCTGCTAAAATTAACACTAAATTAATTTTCAATATGTCACTATTGAAAAATACACAAATGTCCAACTGTTGCAATGGTGATCAAAATTATCAGCGATTGCCTGAAAACAGCGCATTCCCTAACACAGATTTAAAAATCGAATTCGATCCTGTCTCACTGAACGGTGCTCATTCAATCACCGTGTGCGGTGGTGTCCGGTCGTCGATATTAGCAGCAGTAGCAGCAGCAGCAATGCTTTCGACGTGTCGTTGAACATTTTTCTCCAGTACGCAACGAAAGGTTTCCTGCAAACAGCGAGCTGCAGAGCCCACATAAGCAACCATAGGAGGAAGAAACTGCACCGCTATGCTATGGATCGGAATCAGTAGCTCTTCGTGAGTCGCTGCGGGTCGGTCATCTATGCCAAGCGTGTCACCCTCGCTCCAAACAACATAAAGTTCGAAAGCTTCATCCGTGTTGAACACCCCGCTCAGCATTACTCAACCATCACGACAAAACGGTCCTTCTCAAGACCACCATAAATTTTTTAAAGAGTATTATTTGAACATTTGTCAAGGTCATCCATCCTAGATTCTTACAATCAATTTTCGCATATTTTTTATTTATGGAAAAAGCCAAAAATTCCATGCGTTTTGTGCACGAAAATGCGTAATTACGTCATCATAAAACGAGGCTTTTCCATGATACCGTGATAGCATGCTAGACGGTACCTATCTTTATGCCTTTGGATGCAAATGTTAAGCCCCTCCTATTAAGAGATTATGCCAAAAACAAATCTTGCCGAATTCCCCTAATAGGAGGGGCTTAACATTTGCATCAAAAAGCATAAAGGTAAGTACCGTTCGGTATGCAGATTTAATTTCCGAATACGAATATTGATGGGCAGTTCAATCTATTCAAATGTCTACAATTGTACGAAGTAATTGATAATTGAGAAATTGTTTGCGAGTTTATCGATAAAGTCATGTCGCAGAATTTGGCTACACAATACCGTATGCGTGATAATGTTTGCACCATTGAGCAATGCCAAATTAAAAAAAAATCTCAAAAATTTCGTTTTCGAGTTTTTTTTTATTTATTCAAAGGGGGATGTTTCTCAGAGTCTTAAACTATGTTAATCATCGATCGAGTTTCCACTTGCTGCAATCACGGCCTCCACACGCTTCCGGAATGCACGGCAGGTTCTAATAATGTAGTCTGGATCCATTTCTCTCCAGGTACGGGTCAATGTTTATCTGAGGCTTGCTGTACGCGGGTGGCGTTTAGAACAGGACTTGGCCTTCATGACGCGCCATATTGAGTAATCCAGCGGATTAAGGTCGGGGCTGGATGGCGGCCACATATTCTTCCAACCACTTCTGAGTGCGGTTCGAGGTGTGGCACGGAGCCCCATCTTGTTGAAATACAACATTTGGCTTCGGACCGTACTGTTCTTTGATCCACGGAAAAACATACTTACTTAAAATTCCGATGTAGACCTCCGTGTTGACCTTGTCGCCTTCTGGAATGCCATCGGAAGCCACCAATCCAAACACCATAACGCTAACAGGATCCTTGGTTAGATACACGTTCTTGTGCTCGTCGGCCGCGTCTTTTACAAGAAGAGAACTAATATACCGGTCGGTTCTGGAATTTGATACGGGATCGACGGTAAAAATGCTCTCGTCGGTGAAAAGGATTACCGGATTTTTTCGCTTAAGGAAGTTCAAGATTTTCTTGCATCGTTCGACTCGTAGCTCTGCGGTTGGTAATCATGTGAGATTTTTTCCGTGCCCTCGACTTCGCCCCGCAGCCTTTCGTGCCGTAAAGTCACTGATCCCGTGTTCCATTGCCATTTTCCTTATTGAACGCACTGGATTCACCCGAATCTTCCTTTTGATAGCAGCGATAACCCTCGGAACCTGCGCTGACCTCGGACGACCTGTGGCCACCTTCGCGGATAGTTGTCCTTTCTTTTTTCGGTCTAAAACCCTTTTGACGATCCACCGGGGCACTCCCACGGCGATTGAAATGTCTTTTTGCGACATTTGCGCGTGGGACAAATCACGAATACGCTGCCACTTCGTCATGGTGCAACTGTCAAACTAAGTAAATCATTTTCTTTTATACACAGCCTACTACGGTATGAGCTATAGGTTACGTGTATGCAAAGAAAACCAAGGCATTGCACTATGGGCAAAAATGGGTCCAAAATTAACCAAAATTAAATATCTCAACAGCACGCTGAACTCCGGCCATGAAAAACGACTTTTCCGAAGGGAAATCGTCTGGGGAATCGATTGCACGTGTTCCCATATACCGGAGAGCCTTGTAGGTATGTATTTTGGACCATTTTACCCCATTTTCCCCTACTTTTTGGAGGAAATGTTTTTTTACAGCTCTATTTTTCTTAAAACATAAGCACTTTATGCATGGTTTTAGAATACTATGTCTTTACATCTTCTTTCCTTTATTTAACGTCGGTCTCTGTTCCGCAATCTAGTGCCAATCACCGACGGACATCGATTGCCATCCATTGACGGCAACCGAATGTGCAGAAAGGCAGCTTCCACACCTGCGTAGGATTTCGCACCCATTCACAAACACCATGGGCCGGGACCAACGGCTTTACTTCCCTTCCGAAGGAAGACGTGACCAGAGATTTTTATGCCTCAGAAAAATCCCACCGACCTCGGCTGGGATTGGACCCAGACCCATTGGGGTGTTAGAAAGCAGTCACGCTTACCACTACACCACCGGCGCCGGCTACTATGTCTTTAAACAACAGTTCATGAGATATTAGGGGAATACGGGGTACACTTTATAGAGAGTAAGAGGTAAAAGTGAACCCTCGCTAATTTTATTTTAATTCATAAAAATGTTGAACGATGCGATTGTTTGAATGACCCCGAAGGTTGCCTGCAATAATAAGATTTTTTTCTAAATTTTAAGGTTAATTGATGTTAAATAAGTTTTAATTGACTGCCATCTGTTTTAAAAGAGTTTTCGCTTTGTTTGTCTGTATACAGCAAAACGATATAGGGTAAACGCTCCTATAGTTGCGGTACGTTAGAAGCGTTAGGTTCCTATAGTTGTGTATGGAGACTCCTCACACAACTATAGGAACCTAACGCTTCTAACGTACCGCAACTATAGGAGCGTTTCCCCTAGTGGTTCTCAGAATTTTGTAAAAATTGGAAATTTTGTTCCTTATCGCAACATATTAGACCCGTATTTTTTTTTATTTTGTCATTAGGGTGACTCTTTATATATTGAAGCGGCCAAAAAAAATTTTTGTTTTTCGATTTTTTTTTTCAAAAATTTAAAATGGATTTTGTATTAAAAAACATTGATTGTATTTTCACTTTTACCCTTTACTCCTCTATAAAGTGTACCCCGTATTCCCCTAATATTTCATACAGTACACAGTATTCTTAAACCATGCATAAAGTGCTTATGTTTTACGAAAAATTGAGCTGTGAAAAAACATTTCCTCCAAAAAGTAGGGGAAAATGGGGTAAAATGATCCAAAACACATACCTACAAGCCTCTCCGGTCCATGGGAACACGTCCAATCGATTCCCCGTCGTTTTTCATAGCCGGAATTTAGCGTGCTGTTGAGATATTGAATGTTGGGTAATTTTGTACCCATTTTTGCCCATAGTGCATTGTATGCACAGGTGAAACGGGAACCTTATTTGTACGATGGAGCAAACATAGACCTTTTTGACGTTTAATCGTCTGTCTCTTTCTAGCACACTAATCTGTTTCCCTCTTGCTCGCACTCGTTCGATTTAAATGGTGCAGTAGTGTGCGCCGATTAAACGTCAAAAAGCTCTATTATCACGCGTACGGTACAAGCGCCGATCACGTAAGCGCGCAAATGAAGAGCAAGCGGACAAACATCCGAAGAAGCAGCCGAAAACTGATGCTGAAAGAAATCGGTGTTACCGAGACAGGATCAGAACGGCTAGAGACAACATTGCTTTATCTACTGGTTCGGATGCTGGAGAAGGGTCTTCAAGGCAAGGTACGACATTTGACTATAATCCCCTAAAATAAAGATGTACATTGTTTGTAACGCATATGAGGTAAGTGATAACTCACGATTATTTCTAGAAAAATACGTTTCAAATCTGGGGGCAAGACAGCTTCCGATCACGAGCAAAATCGGAGTTAATTTTGAGTAACTCTGAGCAACTCGCGTTGATCAATATATTATACACATAGCAACCTGAATGTTGTATTGAAAACAATGTTGAAACTGATGCTGTCAAGCAAAGTAAGTTGACGTGTTTTCCAGTTTTGATCGATGAGCCTCGAAGTAAGTAATAATTTAAAAAGGAAACTTATAATTTACTCGAATTATATTCCAAAAGTGCAGAAGAATTAAATAAAATGCTCCATTTTCATAATAAAAGCATTTTAAGATTGCACTCGTATACCTCCCCGTGGAAAATTTTGAAACCATCATCACTCTCATAGTTCTTCTATTCTCCACGAGTGCCAACTTTGATTTGCCAATCATTGCGTCCAATTATTTAAACCACCTTTAAGTTAAAATTAAAACCACAGACAAACAGACATAACACATTGAATATTTCTCACTGTAAAACATCGTCGCTAAAACATTACCGCCATCTGTTGAGTACACTGTGGTGGGTAGTACGCTGAACAGATGGCGGTAGTGTGTAAACGTCAAACGCAAGGGAATTGACTATGCGCGCCACATGTGGCGCTACTACCAACTACCATACTTTTAAATTGACTGTTAAATGCTTGTTCGATGAACAACTTGCGAGTGTCATGTCTGTTTGTGTGTGTTAAAACCATTAGGTTGCATAGCCACCAGTCATACAAAAGAGTAGTTGTTATAGGATTGTATTTTTAATTGTATGATATATTTATGAACAATTCATAACCTTTTGATTTAAGGTTTCGTTTATATATTGGATACATCATCCATATGTGTTCAGGATACATAACAGGCTGTAAAAAACAAGATAAACTTGTGCCTATGAAGTATGATATTTAATTTAATATTGCAAAACCAAGCAGCTCAATATGTATTCCACTAGTAGCTCAATACAAAATCAATTTATTATATTCTATACATTACGTAGCGTCTTCCACAGTAAACCCAGTCCACAGTACAACCAAAATCAATAATTTGGTAAATAGACCGTAATAGTTCACAAAATATTGAAAACTCTAGTATATAAATATTCTTTCCATCATTTGACAGAATCTCAATCATCTGTATGCAACGGATGAACACTGCTTCCACCTTCTCCAACAACATCAATTGAAGACTACTATGTCAACGCCCTTCACCAAACTGTTCACCGATAGCTCCAGGTGCAACGCATGAGCACAGCTATCATCTCCAAGAACATCGAGGAAAAAATTCCACAGCATTGTTTTAAACTGGCTTCCAAGCTTCCAACCAGGCATGGAAAATCATTTGCATTCATTTCGTGCATTCATTTACATTCATTTGCCCCTAACTTTTTTTATGAACAGAATTTCGCAAAATAATGCATGGAGCTTTTGTAGGTTTTGTTATTAGCTACAAGTTTTGTAAACACTTGAAATCCGTATATCTTATGCATGACGAACCAGAGCGAACAGAAGCCACTACTGTTTTTCAGTGAATGTATTTTACATTCACTGAGAAACAGTAACAAATTCTGCCCGCTCTAATTCGTGATCCATAAGAGATACAGATTTAAGTTATGAACAAAAATTGTAGCTAATAACAAAACCTAATAAAGTTCTTTACATCATTTTGCGGAATGCTGTTGATGAAAAAAGTTAGAGGCAAATGAATGTAAATGAATGCATGAAATGAATGTAAATGATTTTCCATGCCTGCTTCCAACCCATCGGTTCTTTTCAGGACCACCAATTGATAAAAGAGTTCAAATAACACACAGAGCACCTCAAAAACAGAACTCTCAAATTGCTTCCGAATTTCAACCTATCGAAATTTTTCACTAATAACGAGTAAAGAAATCAATTTAATATTAACTATACTTTTGCTGTGACATCTTAACTACCTTTCGTAATTCTACGTCAAATCTACGGTTGTTTCTTGGATACAACCTCTTACTTTTGTTTTGTCAAAAATTCAACAACAATCAGGGGACATTTTTTTCCTGTGTACATGAAAAATTACAGCTGCTGGGTAACAAATTCTTGTTCATTGCCAAATACTCCAGAGTGATCAATTATTCATCTGCTACTATACATATAATTTTGACCGCAGTTAGCATTTTTCCGAAAATTGTGGTGAGTAACGATTAAAAATTTCTACCTCCTCTTCTTCTTTCTGGGATTTTTTTACTTCAAAAACTGTATGCAACCGATGAGGCCTCTACTGATTTGTCTTTTTCTTCGGTCTTATTTTCAACGCCTGCTTTCAGTCCATCTTTCGTGGAGATGCAGTCTTCCATTACTAACACCAGTTCTTTGTACCTATCCCTCCTGCCCACACAAAATAAATACGGCTTGCTGTTCCCTCCGCTTTTGTAAAATGAATGACGACATGGGGAAATACCATAAAACCAATACAAAAATCTAGCTGCAATTCTGCGGTAGTTTGATTTTCCCCAGTGATTTTACGTTATATCCTATTAGAATAAACCTAATTATAAGCAACCGTTTATTCGACAGTTTGAATGCCAGTTTCCATCAGTCATTAATCAGAATCCCTATCTCTAATCCCCTATCAACACACTCGAGTGGCTACCAAGATGGCGGTTTGAAGTCATCATCACAGGAGTGGAACTTCGGATCAGAAAGTGGCTCCATTTGTCATTTGCGAAAACTATCGCACCTAGCGGTAGAAGGCATCTTCTGCCTGCAGTTAAGATAGGCAGCATGCTATGATAGTGTGAGTGTACATAGAAAGCCCATGTGGAACACTACCACAACACACCGCTTGTTGAGCAGAAAAACGAACCACTTTTTGATTCACGGATTTGTTTGCACTTCCCCTTCTGTTCTGTGTCATCATCCATGGACAACGACTCCCCAAATCCGGTAAGAAGAAAGCGAGAGTAGTTGTAACCGTCACTTTTCAGTTGACTAACTATCTACCTACAATATGTTTACTTTCACAGTTGATGAGAGGCACATTTGCAGTTGAAGCAATTTGCACAACAGATCTTTTTATTAAATCCAATCAGCCTAAGGTATCGAAATATTTAAAAAAAATGTTTTTATTTAAATCCAATCTCATCTGATCTGGTCCAACACCACAACTAGTTTTCGAAAGCATTCTTGAAAATGATGGATATATTTCCATCATTTTTCTTGTCTATCTGTGATATGTTATTTACACATCATAGATGCACAACACATATCAAAAGCCAGGCCGGCTCACTGTGGGATGATTTAAAAAACATCGTGCTTGTTTAAATCTAAGATTCAAACACGATGCTTTAGAATACAATAAATGGATGAAACGTGGACATCTCGTACCGTACATTTCGTTGTTATGTAATTTACAAATGGTTGGTCGTTGGAGCATCTTGTCTTTAAAGGTGATCCTTCATTTTCTTCTATCGGTTGGGACATATGCATTAACTCTTGAATCGTGCGCACTGGACATAGCAGTTAAAAAAAAACTCCGAATCTATTATCTATTATTATATCTATTGTAGTGGATATGAAGCATAAAGTGAACAAATTCTATTTCTGTATTGTGTTTTCACTATGCGATCAGGTTATATTATGTATCGAAGGACAACTTCGAGGATAAAGGTTCTCGCACATTATGTGTAAAACTTTTCACAACGCATCAATCCTGGATGCATTGTGCGCCGAGCTGAACGCTATTATTATTCTGTTTCCAAACTTGATTTTTTGCTTTTTCTGTAAATTGCTGTAAGAAAATCATATACTGCAGAAAGTAAGGGAACATACTTTCGCTTTTTTCTGTACAACATTTTACAGAAAAGCAAGTACGAGAACAGATCTAACAACTTTATCTTCTTTGATCGACAGTTACAGAATCAAAACAAAACTTTCCGTAACCTGTTGGCATCACAATGGTAACAAACTTATTCCCACCAGTTCATTACCGCCCTACTTGCGCTGAATAAACGTTCACTTTTGTTATCTACTGTATAAGATTCGTAACATTTGAACACAAAAGAAGTTTCATCATACGGCACGAAAACATTGAAATTTCACTCAGTCAAATAAACTGCAGTCCGCTCTTTGGATAAATATTCCAAAATTCTTCTTACCCAGCAAGAGTCCATCCATATCGAAGATGCAGTGCGTAACCTTCCTTATTTTGTTAACCATGTTGCTGCCTCCACTCGCGTCAAGAACCAGAATAGTACTGAAGAGATCGACTCGTTCTCGATGCGGGTGATGCTGTGCTTCTAGAAAACGACCGACAGGCACCACACATAGATCAGATGTCAAGCGAGATGAAAAAAGAAAGAAAGTATAACAAAATTAGGCAATCACAAAACATAATAAAGGGCACACACGAACGCATTCATCAACTCCCATACGTAAGTATAGGAACCTCGATAGGAACGCTTAGTGGGTCAAAACAATGTGACTTAGCCAATACGTAAGAATCCATTAACGGTCATCGCTTCTAGTTGGATTTGTTTTGATATTCGCCATGTGCTTCAATGCGGGACTGTAAGAATGTAGCTATACACGAAAAATTGGTCGACGAAAAAATAGACTATGCAAAGTCATAGCCAATACGCCTAGAAAACTTGGCCGATAGCGTCGGGGAATGGGAGAGAAGTTTCAAAATCTTAACCACTTTCAGCGAATATTTTAGGAAATTGTAAATATTTAGTAGCGTAGATGTACGAACTATGGCTAACGTTCCTATTCGGGGTGTTCCAATTATGGCCTAGGGGCTGTTCTTTAATTACGTAGACAGTTTATAGGGGTTTGGCATTATCCACGGCCATACAAAATTTAAAAATTGCGAATGGACAATTGTTTACGAAGGGAGGGGGATGGCAAGAATTCCAAAAAGAACAGCCCCCCTATGAGAATTCCACAGGCTATATTTGGAACAGATCAATCCTGCGATCTTCTTTCTGACACTAAGAAATGCCAACTACTTGGTCTTGTGTAGTTTTCAGCACCCGATCGGCTACCACTGAATCATTCGACCCAACAAACAATTTTAGCTGCAGCTTAGCTTATACAGGCAAAAATTAGCTGCATAAGGCAAATTTTGGCTGTATAAGCTAATCTACAGCTAAAATTGTTTGTTGGGGATTGCTTTGCTGGAATGTGCACCACTTTGACCATGGATCTTAGGCGGCGTCCTTGAGGTGATTGAGTTCCTCCATCGTGACACCGTCAGGCATACCAAAAGTACCGCCTCATGACAGTATTCCAACGGCTGTCGCTTTCATTTCCTACGACAGTTTTGTGATTGAGCTATACGCGATAGCCCACAGTGAGGCTGTTATACGACATACAACGTTGCCGTCTTGTGCAGTACTCGACAGCTCGTTCTTATTCATGTAGGGGAAATGCAAATAATGTCGGCCTAAGTGTCCCTAATTTGGGCCCATACATAAATTCAGCAATCGACTAAATTTTCAATAGCAACCAAAAATATCCATTAGTAACGTCCCAATAACGGGTTCATCTAGATAAAATTGATATTTAAATAGCAGATTTTTAGCGATGGGCCCAATCTTAGATCCATAGGCCAACATTAGAGACGTTTCCCCTATTTTGTTCGTTCGGCTATGACAGCCTCGGATGGTCATTCATAAAGTTCCTCGTACATACAACAAGCAGTTCGTCAAACTGCCTATTCGTTGCTGCTGTCTTTCGTGCAGCCCATTGCCGTTGACGAGAGCTCTGTAGCTCTTTACTCCTATGGAGAAATCTCATATGTAACTGTCAGTCTATGTGTGAAACATGGCGGACTTTTTCTTATTCTCTCACTCCAACGCAAAACCCCATAAGGAACTGTCAAAATTTGTGTGAAGAAACGTCACTTCGGGCCTGGTGTCAAGGCGAATTGCAAAATTTGCATCCGATATTTTTTTAAAAAGACGCGGTCTTGAGCAGATCAGACATTCCGACATTCCGACGAAAAATATAAGCCTACCCGACACCAACCTGACTTGTACCAAACACCAACCTGATGTTGGAACTACATTGACCCGACATAAACACAGAATTGAGCTTACATTGATCCGACATCGGGCCAACATGTCTGTTCAGGATCATTTTTCTGGGTTTCTTCCATACTCCACTGCCATATATCAATTGTGTATAATGTCTCGTGACAGCCACTTGGGTAAGCTGAGGGATGTCGTCGGTTTGTGAAGGCTATCATCTCGGCTGTCATGACGACAGAAACATTGAAAACCTGGTCATAAATAAATGTATAAATACAGCCCATTCGGTTCACTACGTTCCAAGCACGATGATTTTAGCAAAGTGGGTATAGATGCGACTGTTCTAATACAGCTTTCATTCGCTCAACGGTGCCGGTGGTGTAGTGGTAAGCATGATTGCCTCTCACCCCAGTAGGCCTGGGTTAAAAGAGAAGTAAAGTCGTTGATACCCAGTTCATGAGTTGATAGGTTGATAGGTAGGGTGCCTCCCTGGCGTCGGTAGCATTGGTGAACAAGACGGAGATGAACTAGCCTTCGGCTAAAAATCTCCTAAATAAAGGAAGAAAAAAAAACGGAAAACAAGATCGACGGAAAACAAATCAAGGAAAAAAAATCAATTAACTTGGATAAGTTAGAATTATCGATCTTTTCACTCCAATAATTTTAAGCGTGTTTACTGACATTGCCACTTCCTTGATGGCTCAGAGTTGTGTAGCCAGTTCTTGCTCTTTGTGAGAAAAACCTGCAAATTCTTCAGGCCAAGTCCCTACACCCTTCCACGGAAAACAACCGATCTTTCGATCTCAATGGACTTGCCAAACTTTCTTAAAATTCTCGGATATAAGATATCGAATATTCCTGCCAGGATTCCAGCCCAAGACTGAATTCACATGTGCATCGGAACGGTGTCGCGATGGAGGAAGTCAATCACCTTAAGGATGCCGTCTAAGATCCATGGTTAAAGTTGTACACAGTACAACAAAACAATTATCGAATGATTCAGTGGATGCCGATCGGGTGCTGAAAACTACTGTTTTTTTTTTCTCAAAGATAATTTCATTATTTACTATTTCTTATCAGATGGCATTTTGATCAGATCAATAGTTTTCAGGTTATCATTTATTTTTAATATCGCCACATTTTAATACGCCCTTTTTAAAAGCTACTGTGAAGAAGAAAAAAATCATATTAAAATGAAAAATGCAACCATTGCTAATCTAATCTAATTCAAACGCATCCAGTACGAGAAAGCATCCTGGAAAATGGTTAGGGTAGATCTAAGAGAAAGACGAAACAACTGGCTTCTTACCAAGGGGTAAGTCACTCAGCACATTGAGCCGAAATTAGATTCGGCACAGCATGGGCACATCCATCGGCACAATCTCGTAGGCATTGAATTGTTGCAAGGGGTAAGACAGCTCCTAATCATGAGCAATTTTAGAGTTGCTTTTGAGGCACCTCGAGTAACTCACATTGCTCAGTGAGCAAGATCACTGTCATTTGCATACTCACTTTTCACACCACAGCAACATATGAAGGTGCGAAGCCGAAAAGCTGCTGTCAAACAAAACAACAACAAACAACCGGCTTGAAGTGGTAGAAGAACTCGATCCACCAGACCAAATACTCCAGATAATTATAACTATTATTCATTATATTCGGAGCATGTTTCGTTCTTCAGTTTCTCGTCAGCAAAGGCTATAGCGATGATCCTGTACTTGGTTGGATCGGATTTACTCTTGAGAATCTTCAGATCGCCAAAAACCCTTTCTTTCCACTCTCTCTGAACCATCTGCAGTAGCTTGGAGCGAACGCAGAACATTTCAGGCATAACATTTGATAACGGCACAAAAGCATTTGTAAACAAACTTTGTAAGGCCCTTTACACGCGAACCGAAGTACGCGCACGCAAACCAATAACATCATCGGATAGGGGCAACTCTCTCCTTTACGAAAGTGGTATTGGTTTGCGTAGGCGTACTTTGGCTCGCTTGTAAAGGGCCTTAGAAAGTTTGTTTACAAATGCTTTTGTGCCGTTATCAAATGTTATGCCTGATTTGTTCTTCGTCTTCCTCACCGGTTTTCACTTCGATTTCATCGGCAAGATCGATGATGGGTTTGAAGTCCGGATGAGGATCGTATTCACCGGAAACATTGGCAGCTGTGTCTTCATCGTCCTCCTCCTCTTCGACTTCAGCAGTGTCGACTGTGTTGATGCTTTGGCTGAACATTCTGGGGTAGTGGTTGGCAGCGTTTCCTTCGGAGCTGGAATTGGGAATCGAATGTTAATCGGTTTTTATCCAACAGTGAAGATATTTCCTATGTATGCCAGTGATTTCCCACAACGATTTCACATTCTTCTCGGTGGACATCTGAAAACGATTCCTGTGGTTCAAATCGCATTTGTCCACCTACCTACAGTTAATTCACATTCAACGTTTTGAAACGGAAAAATACGAACCAAAAGCACTTCCAAAACAATAACATCAGCAACAGCAGCCAATCGGCACAGAGAAGCAGATGAAAATCCACGCAACTGTGCCCCCTTTTGAAGCTTTTCCAGCATCGTTCAAGCCATTTTCTGAACAAAATCTGGAATTCACATCGTATCAATAGCCGAACAATTCTATTTTGTTAACAAACAAGACTTACGTTTAATATGTGAAAGGGATAAACGGAGTCAAGGAGTAACCAGACAAAAACATCGATGAACGTCGACTAAATTTTGAGGTACAGTGTGTTTCTCGCGAGTTACTTGCTGCAAAAAAGCAACTCAGAGCAAAGCTGTCTCACCCCTTGGATTGTTGTAAATAAAATGGAAGCTGGACAACTGTCATAGAAATTGTTCACAACATTATGTGCTGTTTGACTGTATATTCAGGAACATCCTCTAATTGAATACACCAGAGGAACTCTGACCAGCCGTTCACTTATAGATCTAAATACGAAATGTAGGTCCTAGAGTGGGCTCAAGAGAAAGAAGCAATTAATCAAACCTGCATCTCACACAAAACAAACTACAGAAGTATATTCATCATCCTCTACAGTCGGTCTCCAACAATGTTCCCCACCGGTTCCAACTCTTTCTGGCCGCTGATAGACCGTTGCTTTCATATCACGCAAGGCTAGGTTTCTTGTCTGCCTTTGAGGGCATTATAAAACCCTAAAACACAGGACTTTTATTATCTTATGAACACAAAACACCACAATTTTGCAGACCCGC